ACTCAGGCGTCGATATCACGACTCGCGCTCAGGCCGGTGTTAGCGTTCTGGTAGAACCCAACCTTGCCGACAGAATAATCGATTGGAAGCCTATCAGAGGAAGGGTGGTAATCCACCGACGGAAGCTACAACAGGCAAAATCGATGACCTTGGTAAAGGTCTATGCGCCCAATTTGAATGGAGAACATGAGACCTTCCTTGAGGAAGTGCACTGTGCTCTGTCCGAAGTGCCGAAAACAGAGTCCTTCATACTGATGTGCGATTTAAATGCGCTCGTCGGAGTAGGCGCTGAAAAGTGGAACGGCGTGATTGGCAAAAACGGTCCTAGCGACCTCAACAATAACGGCACGAAACAGGTGCAGTTTTGTGCAAACAACGGATTGTCCATTATGAACACCTTCTAAGAGCATCGAAGAGTGCATGAGTAAACCTGGTACCGGGAAGTCTGTGCACAGAAATCGACGATCGATTTGATAATCGTATCGTCTGACCTAAGACGCTCAGTAATAGATGTTTGCATTAACAGAGGCGCAGAGCTATCAACCGATCATCACCTTGTTGTTGGCATGTCGCGCTGTAAGAAATGGAGTACTATACGAAGATCCGGTGGCAGAAGCAACCGGAAAATCAAATGGGAAACATTATCTTCGATGGACACGAGGGCGAAATTTGCAAACAACATCGGAAGACGGTTTGAACAGATTCCAGCGATGACAACTGATGTTGAAACCGAGTGGCAGCTGCTTAAGAGAGGCCTACTCGAGGCTGCCGCCGAATGCTGCGAATTTAAACGGTTTGGCCTGCCGCCTGGTGGTCATCAAAAATCTTCCTGGTAGACACCAGAGGCACAACTTGCAGTTAAAGAGAAAGCAGCGTTCAAGAAATGGCTTGGAAGCAAAGAGCCTTTTACTCACGTGCGATATGTTGAGGCACACGAGGCCGCAGCGGAAACAGTGGCGAATGCCAAAGATGATCCTTGAGAGAACTTCGTGAGATGTTGGAGACGACAAACAACATATTCAGGCAAAGCATCCGCCAGCTCCAAAGTGAAAAGAAGGGCAGTCTAAGAGTCTTGAAGTTCAGGTTTAGACACCCTCTTACCTAGATGACATTCTTTGGCGATGGAGAGAGTACTCTAAGGAACTCCACAACCCTGAGCAATCGCAGAAAGGCTCGCCTGTAGAGCAGCAGGAAACAGTTATTACTATCACTGTAGATGAAATTACACAAGCTGTGAGAATCTTGAAAAATGGAAAGGCTGCTGAAACTGAGGAAATCTGCCCTGAGATGCTCAAGGCATTAGGCGAACAAGGCACCTGCTGACTAACACGTGTATGTCAAACGACGATGACTTCGGGAAAAACACCTGCGGACTGGAGAACGGGATTTATTGTACTCGTATTAAAGAAGGAATACCATAAGGAACGCTCCAATTATAAGGGCTTACGTTACTAAGTCTCCAGGTAAAGTCTACGCAAAGGTGCTAGAAAGCAGATGCCGCGAATTAACTGGCCTCAAGATACAAGAAACGCAGTGTGGCTTGAACCCGGTCGAAATACCTCTGACCATATATCTGCTCTGCGTCGGATTGTTGAGAAATCGTGGGAGTACTCCCGTCCGGTGTACATGTGTTTCTTTGACCCAGAAAAAGCCTATGACCGGATCTTACGCAACAGTCTGTAGCCATGCCTTCGAGCATACCGGAGAGAAGGCCAGCTGCTGAGGGCCATCCAGTGACTGAATTCTGATAGCAGGTGCTGTGTCAGATTAAATGGCGTTAAGTCGAAACCATCACTGGTCTCCGCCAAGGCTGCGTCCTGTCCCATATCCTGTTTGTGTTGTACATGGATAGAATAATCAGGAGCTGCCAAAGCGATGAAAGTATCGGTGTGGGAGATGTGAAGATGAGAAGGTTGCTGCTTGCAGACTACCTTGTTTTATTGGCATCTTCTCAAACTGATCTGCAGAGCTCCTTAGAATGGTTCGCAGCCGAGTGCGACGTGACCGGCGTGCGTGTGAACCCATCTAAAACGAAAAGCCTAGTGTTTTTCGTTATCCTGCATGTTGCTTTCTTCAGATTAACGGAGAGGCAGTGGAGCAGGTGAAGTTCAGGTATCTCGAAATCGTATTTACTAGTTATGGAAGATTTAAGAAAGAGATCAACCGGTGAAGTGGAGTAGCTAGTGGCGTTCTGCGTGAACTAGTCCGATCCATTGTGACTAAAACAGGGCTCAGCCAGAAATCTAAGCTCTCGTTGTTCAAATCAATCTTTATCCCCATGCTTGCCTACGGTCATGAGTCATGACCATGACTGAAAAGCTTTGAACCTGGATACAAGCTACTTAAATGAGCTTTCCTAAGCGAGTCACTGGCTTTAGGCATCTCGACATGGTCCGAAATACTGGTATGCGGAAGAGTCTTGGTGTACCGCGTCTGCTTCTCCAGATTGAGAAACCACATCTGCGATGCTTCGGCCATGTTTCGCGAATACCTCCAGAAAGGAAGGCTAAGCAAGTGTTTCTTGCCAAACTG